GTCGAAGAGTATATAGAAGAGTGAATTACATTTATAGAGTTTATGTTTTAGTTAAACTTCTTATCTATTTTTTTTGTTTTTCTAGCTTTGAATTTGCATTGCTTTTTTGGTTAAACCCAGGCCTCATGCATGGTAGGAAAGTACTCCACCACTGAGCTACATTCCTACACCCTATCCTTTTTTATTTTCTATTTTTGCTTCAAGACATGGCTTACTAAGTTGCTCAGACTGTCCTGGAAGTTGCCGTCCTCCAGCCTTTGCCTCTTGAGCAGCTGAAATTAGCAATGTGTACTACTTTACTCAGCTTAATTTTAATTCCTTGCTCCAATATAGTTTTATTAACAACTCACTTTTCTTGTTTTTATTCCTAGATATATTACATTTATTATCATATGACAAAAACTCAATTTTATAGGTTATTCTTTTGTGCAGTTATCTTTTAAATAAGTTACAAGAAAGAAGTATTGATATATCAATACAGTTTAGTTAATCACTACTTCTATAATTACTTTACTAGGTATGTTTGCTTTTTCAATGCAGATTCTAGTTACTATTTTTTTTAACCAGGGATCAAACTTACAACCTTGCATTTGCCAAGCAGACGCTTACACCACTGGGCTAAATCCCTGGACCTCTTGTTGCTATTTAATGTCATTTCCTGATGAGGATCTTCCTTTAAATTTTTTTATTGCAGGATTTGTAACAGATTCTTTTAGTTTTTGTATCTGCAAATGTCTTAATTTTGCCTTATTGGGAGGATAACTTTAATAGATAAAGGAATTTTGGTTGGTATTTTTTTTTTCTTATAAGCATTTGAATATGTTTTCCACTTCATTTTACCAGTGTTTCTCATGAAAATGAAGAGATGGTATGTTGAATGTCCACTTAGTTATGATTCACTTTGCACCTCCCACCTTTACTATTTTCTAGTAATCTTTGGCTTTCAGATTTTTTACTGTGATGTCTCTTGATATGGATCTCGCAGCATTTGTTGTCCTTGAAGATTAATGGAGCTGCTTGGTTGTATAGTTTAGTGGTTTTTCTTAGATATCTGGGGAGTTTGTAGCTATTGTTCCTTTGAATATATTTTCTGTCTTGCTCTTCCATATATGTTCTGCTATTATGCATATGTTGGTATTGATAATGTCCTTCATTCTTCTGTGCTTTTCATGTTTCTTTTTGTTTCATCATACATAATCTCTACTGGTTTGTCTTAAAGTTTGCACATGTGCACACATTTTTGTGCTCACACCACACACACACACACACACACACACACACACACACACACACACACACAGATATGTCCTCTTGTTAGCTTATCCTGCAAATCAGCTCTCCATAGCAACACCAAGAACATTGACAAAATTGACCAGTCATTTCACTTTGCTTCCCTTTGAAACTTCTTGCAGAGGTTTTGCTTATCTCTGCTTGTTGTCTTCTTCATCCTGTAAAAGAAATCACATTTTCTGTTTAGTTTTGAGACAAAGATTTCTAAGATCAGAGAATTCTTATTACTGTATAATGCCTTTCTTTCTAATTAAAGTCTATATTTGTTTTATAGTATTTTCTATATGATGAGTATTATTAGCATGTATTTTATTTTTAAATTTTATTGATTTTTTAATTTTTGAAAATTTAACTGATACATGAAAGCATAAAATATTATACATATTTATAGAATACCATTTGCTCGTTTGATGTGTATATACATTGTATAATATTTAAATCAGTTTAACCATATCTGTCTCCTCAATCATTGATCATGAATACATTCAAAATACTTTTTTCTAGCGTTTTGAAATGTAAACAAAGTTTTCTTTAGTTCTGTGGATATAGTTCGAGTATCTGTTTCGAAGTCTTTTTCTTCTAGTACAACATGTGGTTTCCCACATGGGCAGCCTCTGCTTGTCTTTATCCTATATGTGACACACATTCCCCTCACTTTTTTGGGGGGTGTCTTTTTTTTCTGTTACAAAAAACTGTACATACTAGATAATACAATGTACCAAATCTGAATGCTGATTCCCAGCCTTGTTGTTTGTTTTGCAATTTGACTAGTTTGATGATGTCTGTTCCAATTGCAGTGAACAGATTTTGTTATCCTTCCTCAGATTTTCTGTGTTTTTATCTTTTAACCTGCCTGCCTTCCTAAGGGTCCTCCTTTGGTTAGTATGAGTCACTTATTGGTCAGAAGTTTTTACTCAAGCTACTGCAGCTAAAAGATGTTCACTTTTTATCTTTGAATATATTCAGGTCTTAGAGATTCTTTTCATGTTCCGTGGCTCAAAGTTACATTTTCAGCATTGAAAAGAATAGACTGTGATTTTATTTTTAAGCTTAGCTTTACAGGAGTTACCTGGTATCACAATCAATAGCTTTGTTGTTCAGCCAGTAATTGGTGAAAGATTATATGTAAGCACTTTGAGCCTTGAATGGTCTTTTGTTGATGGATCAGTTGGTTTTTAGGAAGACTTTCAAGTCTTCCTTCATATCCTACCCTTAATAGTTCTTAAGTGGATGTAACCTGGTCAATAGAGAGAGCCTTCCAGAGCCCCATAAATAAGTGTGATCTTGCAACAGCCCTTTTTGGCTTTTTTTCCTCTGGCTTTCTCTGTTAAATTTCTGGATGCCCTGCCATCTCTCTTATTGTTACTGCTACTGCTATTCTGGAGTTACCAGTTCTTTTTTTTTTTTTTTTTTTTTTTTTTTTTTTTTGTCTTTTTCGTTTTTTATCGGTACCAGGGATTGAACTCAGGACTGCCTGCTTGCAAGGCAGGCACTTATGCTGCTGAGCTAAATCCCCAGCCCCGAGGTACCAGTTCTTAATAGTTCACTACTAGTATCTCCATTATTTTTGAAACACTTAAGTGTGAAATATTCAAGTTATATCACAAAGTCACCATACTCAGAGCTGTCAGATATCTGCATGTTGCTTTGGGTAAAACCTCATCACTTCTACATTTACCTAGGGTGGGTTCAAAGAACTATATCTCACAAAGTGGTGATTCTTCTCCACTTAGGGTAGTGGTTGACTGTAGGGAAAGGGGAAGGTATAGGATAAGAATCTCCTTCCTTCTTTTCTGTATGTCTGTCTTTTTCAGAGTCTCACTATGCAGTTCAGGCTAGACATGGGCTCACTTTGTAGGCCAGGCTTGTCCTGAACTTGCAAATGCTTTTCCTGCCACAGCCTCCCATTTTCTTGCCTCAGCCTCCCAGTCTTTCCTTTCTTATCACACAATTCTTCCCAACAAACCAGATGGGGAAAGAAATCATCAGTGCCCCATATTAATAATCATTTGCTCCTGAGGTGGAACCCTTGTCCCACCAGTGGGAACTAGGTAAGGGAAATATACCCCAATCACCTTGACTGTGCTTGCCTGGAATTTATTTTCTTTAGTAGGGAGCTTGTAGGGAAGTTAGTGAATGAAATAAGCAACCTGTCCTTCCATAGTGAAATTGGAGCCCTATACTGGATGCTGATAAGAGAGAGAGAGATTGCCACACTTTTTTGCCAGGCCATGGCTCTAGCAACAGAGAGCATGAGAGCAGATATAAATCACAATGAATATTTTCTCATTTTCTATATACCCTTAAATTTCTTTCTAGACATTTTGTTTCTAATTTAATATTTACCACTTAAGTTACTGTTTCATAGGGGTCAGTATCTACCCTTACAGCTCCTCACACATCTGTTTATAAAGTGCCTTTTCCAGTTTATTTACAGTAGAAACTGTAGGTAGGCAAGTTATGCGCTGGTAAAACAGTGGTAGATGCTAATATGTTTACAAAAAGTGTGGTAATATTATTAGCACTTTCACAAAGAACTTTCCCATTCCATCTTGACTTACAGTTAAAGTAGAAATAATTACAGACTTGATGATACTGCTTTTTTTATAACAGGCAATATCAGTCTGAAGTGTTAGGACTCAGGGTAGTGGTTGACCACAGGGAAAGGGGAAGATATAGTAATAGGACACAGTAAAAATAATTTGTTACCATTATTCTGGAAGTCTGACAATGTTTCATTCTCTATGTGAGTGGCTTTTATTTAGTTGAATTGTCTTTGGTACCACATAGATTTGATGATTTAGTGTCTTCTCACTCTTTTGTGTTTTTATTATGTTTTGAGATATTAATGCATATGTCACATACATATAATAAATATTGTCTAGAAAACCAAGGAAATAATATCACTGAAATTTTGATATGTCTTTTTTATGCATGTGTGTGTGAGCATAGGTATACATGGACATGTTCAGGCTATCCAAAGGGAGACAGGATGTTATAATTGGATAGAGTGTATGTATGGAATCCCAAAGATATTGTTAAGACTTTCTTTGTAGTTAGCATACATTTGTCCTCTTCAGTAATAGTCTCTTTACTTCAGGTATATATCAAATATATTGCTTATTAATAAAATACAGTTTAAAAGATAGCTTCTTTTAACCGGACTCTTACCTACAATTTCATAAACCGGACTCTTACGTACAATTTCATGTGTAACTTGTTTTTCAAATAGTAACATTTTTGTAGTTGTTTTTAAGATAAGTTTACATTTTGTTTTTTGTGTCTATTGTTCTGTTTTATGAATATTCCATCATAGGGATACTGATCCATTCTATTATTGCTTGGCATTTTATTTACAGCCTGTTTAAGGCTATTTTGGATACATCTTTATGAACATTGTGATAAATATATCTATTGAAAATAGTTACTCATTTTTCTTACAAATGTTCCTGGTTGTAGTGTTGCCGAGTTACAAGATAGACAGAGAAGCTATAAATTTGAATAGATACTAGAGTTTTTACTATCACTAAAAATCTGGATATTTGTTACTAAAGTGAATACTTTTTTATACTAAAATGACAATAGAATATTTTTTTCTATAAGTGAATGTAAAAGTTGAAAATTCCTAGAACTTTATCCACAGAGCACTGAGTGAACAAATGTAAACAGACCATGATAGTCTAATGAAATAAGTGTTTTTCTTATCTTAGATTGGATACTGATTGTTAAGTAAAGTGCGTCCTTCACATCGCAAAGAAGAAACAAAGGTATCTTGAAATTAATGTACTACATATAATGTAATTTTGGTGTTATAATATCATTATATTACTCCTTCGTTCTTTTTTGCAAGCCAATTGATTAATGTGGTCTTGCTCTGTCATTTTCTGCATTGGCCTTGTACTTGTTACAGGATGATTTTGCTGTCACTTGTAATTTGATTATTGGTAGTTGATACCTCCATTTTCAGAGGCAATAAAAGGAAAATAGTAGCAATCACCAAAAGCGTACTTTTCTAAATAACATCATAAATTGTTCTGCTAGGAAAGAAATGTGACCCACTGTCAGCATCAAAGGATAATTACATTAATCAAGATACAATTGTATGATCAAGTTCCACATACCTACAGGCTCAAAGCTACAGTGTTTCAGCTTTAAGTAGACGCCCATATGAAATTATGAAGTCAGAATGCCTAAGCACTGGTACTATTGAGAATAACAGCATAAAAAATGGGTATTATTGAAGGGAAATGAAACCAGTCTATATAATAAGAGTTACTAATTTTTGTGTGTCAAGTGCCACAGAACTTAAAGAAGATTTCAATTTAATTTTCATAAACACTACCAATGGGTATTATATGTGTCAGTGAGGCTACTAGGGTTTAAGAAGTATGTAATTTTCTGTGGAAAATCAGGGAACTGTGAATTAGGTCTTAACAACTTGTTTTTATTGTTTATTTTTTATTTTTCCTGTGGTTTGAAGGACCAAATCTCCAGCCCTTTTTGTTAATTTTTTTTGAAATTTAGAGAGAGTCTTGGTAACTCATCAAGTTGCCTTGTTGGCTTCAAATTTGCAATTCTTTTGCCTCATCCTTGCTTAGTGCTTGGATTACAGATATGTGCCATCTTGCCTGGCAAGTTTTATCACTTTAAACTGCTAGGTACTCTCTTTATACCTTCATTGCAGAGGCAATTCACAAATAAATTTTTTTTTCTGGTGAAAAAAAAGTATATTATATCATAAAAATCGTGCTAATTGTGTATATTGTTATTTTTCCCTTCCCTTCTTTTTCTTTTTTCCTATCTTCTTTTGCTTGTTTCTGCTTCCTTTTTATTTACTACAATCATAGTAATCATACTATGTAGTTAATTTGTTCATACTATAATCATAGTAACTCACAGTTCATAGAGATTTCAATTCATAATGGGCTAGCTACAAGGTAAAGCGGCACAGCAGAAGGCCATCACAAGAGAGAAACAGTTTATGGTGGGCAATATTGCATAAATATTGAAATATGCTTATTTTCTACAAAATGAAGTTTGCCTGTACAGTCATTTTTAAAATGTACTTTTTGTATACCTTCATTGTACAGGCAGATCACAGATGACTTCTTTCGTGAAAAAATTTGGTAAGTATTCTATGACGTAAAATTCTGATTATTGTGTAGAATGTACTTTCTCCACATATTTATTTTTTCTTTCTACTTTCACTTGTTTTTCCTCCTTTTTCTTTATTACAATCATACTAATCAGTTTGTATGAATGATGAAATGTTTCTCTACAAAAATGAGATTTTCTTAATTAAAAATTACAGTAGTTAAAAATTCAAATAAAATTTAACTATCTGCTCTGATATTATGTCACTTGTAGCTTGGTTCTCTCTGACTGCATTGTGATGGGAATCAAACAGGCCACGAAAGAAGTTAGAACCTAGAGTGAGTATAGAAGTCTCTTTGGAAAAAAACTTATTTTTCTTTAAGTTTGAAGAAGAAAATTCATGAGAAATAATATGAAGCACAATTTATCTTTTAAGACTTTTTTAAAATCAAAGATATTAAAATTTGAGATAGGTTTGCTAAATTCAGTGTGTAAATTACATATATGTGATATAATATATATGGAGGCATAGTAAAAAATTGATGAAATACTATCATATAGTAGCATTCATATTATGTTATGTTTTTGTGTATGTATGAGTGTGTGTGTGTGTGTGTGTATGTGTGTGTGTGGTTATACAGGAGTAATTTTAGAAATAAATGAGAAAAGTTATAATGAAAAAGAAATTCCCAAAGCACTATCTGGAAATAACTAAGAATACATGTTGGATAAATTGGAATATATTAAGTAGATTATGTTTTACAGATAAAATTCTTATTTGAGCAATATATTCTAATTTCCTATTATTTAAAATATTATTTTATAACTGGTGACAATGACTAATATCTATAAATGTCCTATATTCATATTTATTCTATATCTGAAATCTCATTTATAGGATACCTTCTTGTTTTCAGTTATTGTTTTATAAGGGTAAATAAAGCATAACTTTTTCTCTTTTGAGTTCATAATTTAGTGGGGGAGATAAAAAATAATTGATCTCAACACAGTAGGAAATGATTAAGTAGTGAGAAAAAGATACAGAATGCTTTGAATTGCATAGAACAAGGGTACTTGAGAGTGTGGGATGTTCCTGATATGTAACTGTCGCACAAGGTTGAGTGAAATGAGAGAATATGTGACATGTTCTATTAGGGTGCCAAGAAGAAAATCTGTAGAAAATGTTCTTTAAAGAGATTTAAAAAAGCAGACTATTTTGAAATTTAAAATTATGTTTTCTCGTTGACACTCAATTAAGTTTTAAAGTTATAATTCTGAATATTCCTTATAATTTTCATATTTCCCTTTCCAGTGTAAATTTTTACATAAATTTTCTATATTAATGTGTATTAGACTCAGTTGTAAGAATTAATACAACACGTGTGGATATTTTACAGCAAAATTACAAATTAATTCAATCATTTTTAAGTGCCCAAATAGTATTCACTATTTTAGGCTAAATCTAACAGTTCTCCTATCTTAGTTACTTTTCTCATTGCTAAGACAAAATCAACACTCAAAGTTAAAGTAGGGAATGTTTATTGCACCTCAGAGTTCATAGAGGCTTCAATTCATAGTCAGCCGGCTCCAAGGCAGAGTGGCATGTTAGAGAGGCACTGCAGAAGAGAAACAGTTTATGGCAAGCAAAAGGGAGCAAAGCAGTAAAGTAGAAGTGATAAACAAACACAGCTACACTCTGTCCTTTATAATTTACCCTTGCTACCCAATGTTAGTAGCACTCATACCCGGGATAGGTCTTCACGTGATCCACTTCCAGAAGTATGTGAAACTAATCAGTGCACTAATTTAATAATCACACACCCTTGATCCCAGCATCATATACTTAAACCCAGCATCACACATTCCGTATGTAGCCACCTCTGAAAAGCTCCATGTGTAGCTGCATGAGACTTTGAGGGGACACACAGACATAAGCCATAACACCTCTAAAAGCCAATGTGACAGATGTCTTACTAAGAAATGTTTGTAGTTAGTAAATTTCTCATTGAAGTTATAGATTGCTTTTCACACCTAAACAAAAGATTTATATAGAAATATATAGATATATACAAAATATATATGTATGAGATGCATCAGAAATTGGGAAAAGTTCTTTATAAGCACTCTTTCTCCCATCTTCTCTGTCTTCACTCATTTCATCTCATTGACTTTTTAATTCAATTTTTAAAAACACTCAGCTACAATATAAGCAAACACAAAAATAGAAATAGCTTTACTGGAATCCTCAAGAGATCTTATTCTCATACTGTCTCATTGTCTCTCTATGGCTATTGAAGTGTATTATGAGGTCTAAGATTTAAGATGAGTATATGATGACAAAACATAAATATGACAATGTAGTCAACTAATTTTTTTTTAGTTTTTCTTACCTCATGAATTTAACCCTGAAAATTCCTCATTGTCTTATCCTTTTGATACTTTAAAAAATTTTAGAATTAGCTTATTTATAGATATTTCATATATACAGAGACCACCAAAAATATATACTTGGTTGTAGAAAAGAAAAATAGCATGACATTTTTGTAACAACTTGTGTTACCCTCTTACATGGGACCGTAGATGATGTCATGTATTGCAGGAAACACACTACACTGCCAGCCCTTTGACAAAAAATTCAAAGTGCATGTGCAGCAATCTCTCAATGACCAGGGTTACCCAAGCAGCTAGTAGGTTGTGCCAATAAATGTCTAGAAACTGTTGCCACTACTTTTAGTACCTCTTGTAATTGTGGAGGACAAAGGTAACTTGTTTCCATCTCATAATATCTCAATAAATTTAGTATTGAAATATTTATACAACTTTTTCTTTTCCTGGAGTAAAGTATGTATACATTTTTGGTGCTCTCTTCTCCCAAACATATATGCCTATGTATATGCCTTCCTCACAGCTGGTGCTCAAGAAAAGCTGAGCCTTTCCTTCCTTCATACCTTTATATTTCTTATTTCTGAAAGCATTTGGTCTGTTTTGCTCTTAATGAACTGACAAGTGTACACTTCTGTCAGGGCTTTAAACAGTGGTCCTCCAATGGGACATCTTAGGTGTGAGTTTGTACACTCCAGCTTTGTCCTTGATTAATGCCAGGGAAAGGAAAGTGCTATTTGCTGTGGGACAGATGAAAAGTATTATGTACAAGAAGTTCTCTTGCTTCTTTTACTAGAACTGCTTAACTGTACTTCATATATCATATGCATATATGTTTCATATATATATATATATATATATATATATATATAATCCTAATCTACTGTTAGCAGTACACATTTTTTTACACATTTTAACCTCTTCTATTAAAGTACCCCTCTGTTGCGGTTTGTGTCTGAATGTTACCCCCAAAGCCTCATGAAGTCTTATATTTGGGCTTCTAGAATTTGTGATGGATTCATTGTCCAATGCTGGGATTATGGGTGTGAGTGTTACACTCAAGTAGGATGTGTGTCCTACATACAATACAAGGGACAAAAAGTCTTCTCTTGTACTCCTCCCTTTTTGGCTTTTGTTGCTTTTGATGTCTACTTCCACCATGAAATGTTGCCCTCTGCCATGAGCTACCCTTACTTGGACCTAGCTGATTATGGACTGAAACCTCCACAAACAGTGAGCTAAATAAACTTTTCTTTCTTTAATTCTGGGTGTTGGGTATTTTGTCTCATCAATGAGAGGAAAATAACCAAGACACCCGCCCAAACTACACCCATATGACCCCAATCAACCACATGTGCGCATACCCAAAGACTGACTTTTCCTTATTTCTCCATTCTTCCTACTACAATCTGAGATTCTGAGATCACGAGATTTTCTCCTTTAGATACTTATCACTTCTGGCATGTCCTCATCAATGACCTCAGTACTAAATGTTCTTTGAATGAAACAAGCTCATGTTCCCTTCCCCTTCCTCATTTCTTCTTTATGGATGCACTCAATCTTTGTCAAACCTGATGTCTCTAAGTTCTTCTACAGTTAACATTTCCCATGCCTTTTAGCTTGTATAAAATATATGCCTGTTTTTTCTCAAATATACTAAAGTCATATGTTGAAAATCTGTATGCTGTGGATGAACACAGCCCAATTTTCATGTATGTAGTAGATGTCAGTAAGTTTCACGGTATGATTCCCTCACAATAACATTAGCACTTAAGAAAATGATAGTGCTGCAGATTCTCAAGCCATACAACAAATTAGTTCATCAGAAACTATGGAGGTTTGTGTTTTTAACTAGACCCTAAATTTTTTCTGATGCAAGGTAAGCCTGAGAAAAATGAATAGATAAGCCTTTCTCATTTTCTGCACATCAGCAACTTTTAAAACCTTTGGTTTTGGCTGTTACAATATTATAGTATTTTTTTTTCCAGTTCGATGGCAAAGATGGTGCAAAATGAAGACTACATGAGATTATTCTTCACAAGATTCACTACTATTATATTCAAATCCTTGAATATTTTGACAGTGACTGCAGCATTTTCCATTCATCTACTTCACCTGACCTGCAATGGCTGAACTATCATTTCGTAGAAGTGTTAATCATGGTAATATTTGAGTACTGATAAGGTAACCCTCCGAAGCTCTCTTGTTACCCTAGAGAGATACCTTTACTGTCTGCTGATCCTTCCAGTGCTTGGTAGCCTCCATGGTCTGTTGCATGTCAGGAACAGAATAAGTGGTTCTGGAGGTAAAGGTTGCCTCCATATGAGGCCTAGAATGAAGAGTGCAGGCGGGACTGGTCTGTCACAAAAATTTAAAGTTCACTACGAAGTAGATCAAGAAACTGAGTCCAAAGGCACTGTGTTACCATGACCATTTGGAACCTCTTCATGTCCATGCTATTTGTGCATGCCATCAAATGCTGTTGGTTTCCTTTGACGATTTGTGTCTTCCTTGTATGCTATAGGCTTTTCAGAGTGCCCCTAGAAAAAGGTGCAGCAGGGTGAAAGGCAGTCCAGGAACATTTTTGCCAGTATTTAACCTGGTACATCACTCTTTGTTCCCTGTTTCTCTTTGAAGAAACTATTGGCATTTAGGCAACTGTCCTTTAGCGGCCCTCTGCTATATTACACACACACTCAGACAGTCACACACTGGGAGAAACATAGGTTATTTCAAGGGTAACTTGTGTAGGGAAAACATACACGAGGAATTTGTATGTTACTTAAGTGTCCATGCTCATACTCACTTAGCTCTGTATGATCAGTCTTGTTTTTTCCTGAACCTTCCTATATTAGCAAGGCTTTTTCATGTGTGGTCCGTCAGTGATGTTTTTCTGGCACCATGGACAGAATTTAGGACCCAAATTGGTTCCTTACCTACTTGCATCCACCACTCATTAGCACAGGTCAGGAAACAAGGGACTCCAGTGTATGTGTGAAGAAGGTGGTATCCCTAAAGTGGTTCCTACTTTGTAATTGTGCTTCTTGGGGACTGATTGCTTAGCTGTGTAGCCTGCTATGCTGCGAAATGTTTTCATCCCGCCCAGTTGGGACGGTAGGACCAGAAATTGCCTGCCGACAATGTCTGTGCCGTTTATGCTCATCCATACCTGCAACATGCCATTGAATTTTTGGCTTGGGTTTCCCTCTCTGTTTTTTTTTTTTTTTTCTCGTGCAGAGATCCCTTTACTGTCTGCTGATCCTTCCAGTGCTAGGGAGCCCCCATTCTCTGTTGTATGTCAGGTGCAGCCTAAGGGATAGTGGAAGAACTGGTTGCCTCCGTATTAGGCCTAGAATGAAGGGTGGAGGAAGCAGTGGTCTGTCACAAAAATTTAAATTCCACTAAGAAACAGGCTAAGAAACTGAGGCCAAAGTCAGTGTGGTACCATGAGCATTTTGAACCTCTTCATGTCCATGCATTTTGTGCACGCTGACAAAAGCTGTTGGTTTCCTTTTACCATGGAGTCTTCCTTGTGTGCCATAGACTTTTCAGAGGGCCCCTAGAAGAAGGTACAGCAAGGAGCAAGGCAGCCCTGGAACATTTCTGCCAGTATTGAACCTGGGACATCGCTCCTTGTTCTCTCTTTCTGTTTGAGGAAACTATGGCCATTGAGGCAAATCAACTTTAGAGGCTCTGTACTGTATTGCACACACAAGCAGACAGTCACACACACGGAGAAACATAGGTCATTTCATGGGTAACTTGTGTATGGAAGACACAGGAGTTTCTATGTCACTTATGTGTCCATGTTCCCAAGCTCATACTCACATCGCTGTGTATGACCAGTCTTGGTTCTGCCTGAGCCTGCCTACATTTGTGAGGCTGTTTCCTGTGTGGTCTGTCAGTGATGTTTTTTCTGGCACCATGGTCAGAATTTAGGGCCCAAATTGGGTCCTTAGCTAGTTGCTTGCATCACACATTAGCACAATTAAAGTCACAAGGAGCCACAGTGTATGTGCGTAGAAGGTGGTGACCTTAATGTCGTTCCTTCCTTTTTTGAGTGCCCTACTTCGTGATGGATTGCTTGGCCATGCAGCATGCTATGCTGTGAACTGTTTTCATCCTGCCCAGTTGGGAGAATAGGACCAGACATTGCCTGCCATTGGGTTTTTGTCATGGGTTTCCCTCCAAAGCTCTCTTGTTCTCCTAGAGAGATGCCTTTACTGTCTGCTGATCCTTCCAGTACTTGGGAGCCTCCATGGTCTGCTGCATGTCAGGAACAGAATAAGTGGTTCTGGAGGTAAAGGTTGCCTCCATATGAGGCCTAGAATGAAGAGTGCAGGCGGGACTGGTCTGTCACAAAAATGTAAAGTTCACTACGAAATAGACCAAGAAAAAGAGGCCAAGCGCAGTGTGGTCCCATGACCATTTTGGACCTTCTCATGTCCATGCTATCTGTGAATGCCATCCAAAGGTGTTGGTTTCCATTGAGCATGGAGTCTTGTTTTAATCCCATAGAATTTTCAGATGCCCCTACAAGAAGCAATGGCAGGGAGCGAGGGCAGTCCGGAAACGTTTCTGCCAGTATTGAACCTGGTACATCTCACCTTGTTCTCTCTTTCCTTTTGAAGAAACTAAGGCCATTGAGGCAAATCTCCTTTAATGGCTCTCTGCTATATTAAACACACAGGTGGACAGCCACACACGCAGACAAACATAGGTCATTTCATGGGTAACTTGTGTATGAAAAATACAAGTGTTCATTTGTCACTTAGGTGTCTAGGTTTCTAAGCCCATACTCACTCACCTCTGTGTGACCCAGTCTTGTTTTCCCCTGATTGTGGTATATTAGTGAGGCTTTTTGGTGTGTGGTCCATCAGTGATGTTTTTTCTGGAACCATGTTCGGAATTTAGGGCCTAAAATGGGGTCCTTCGCTACTTGTATCCACCATGCATTACCACAGTTCAGCAACCAAGGCACCAGAGTGTATATGTGCAGAGGATGGTGACCCTAGCATGGTTACTTGCTTTTTAATTGCCATTCTTGGGGACTGATTGCTTAGGGAGCAGCCTTCTGTGCTGTGAAGTGCTTTGATCCCGCCCAGTTGGGAGGGTAGGAACAGGCTTTGCCTGCCAACAATGTCTGTGCAGTTTATCCTCATGCATACCTCCAACGTGCTGTTGAATTTTTGCCTGGGGTTTCCCTGATAGCTCTTTTTTTTATCAAGAAAGATGCCTTTACTGTCTGCTGATCCTTCCAGTGCTTGGGCGCCCCCATTCTCTGTTGCATGTCAGGTGCAGACAAAGTGGTACTCGACAAACTGGTTGCTTCCATATGAGCCCTAGAATTAAGAGTTCAGGCAGGATGGGTTTGTCACAAAAATTTAAAATTCACTACGAAGTAGATCAAGAAACTGAGTCCAAAGGCACTGTGTTACCATGACCATTTGGAACCTCTTCATGTCCATGCTATTTGTGCATGCCATCAAATGCTGTTGGTTTCCTTTGACGATTTGTGTCTTCCTTGTATGCTATAGACTTTTCAGAGTGCCCCTAGAAAAAGGTACAGCAGGGTGAAAGGCAGTGCAGGAACATTTTTGCCAGTATTTAACCTGGTACATCACTCTTTGTTCCCTGTTCCTGCTTGAAGAAACTATTGGCATTTAGGCAACTGTCCTTTAGCGGCTCTCTGCTATATTACACACACACTCAGACAGTCACACACTGGGAGAAACATAGGTCATTTCAAGGGTAACTTGCTTAGGGAAAACATACACAAGGAATTTGTATGTTACTTAAGTGTCCAAGCTCATACTCACTGAGCTCTGTATGACCAGTCTTGTTTTTTCCTGAGCCTTCCTATATTAGCAAGGCTTGTTCGTGTGTGGTCTGTCAGTGATGCTTTTCTGGCACCATGGACAGAATTTAGGACCCAAATTGGGTCTTTAGGTACTTGCATGATCCACTCATTAGCACAGGTCAGGAAACAAGAGACACCAGTGTATGTGTGAAGAAGGTGGTATCCCTAAAGTGGTTCCTACTTTGTAATTGTCCTTCTTGGGGACTGATTGCTTAGTTGTGTAGCCTCCTATGCTGTGAAATGGCAATAGTTTCTTCAAACCAGAATCGGGAACAAAGAGTGATCTACCAGGTTAAATACCTGCCAGTTGGTATGGTACGACCAGACATTGACTGCCAACAATGTCTGTAGTATTTGCTCATGCATACCTGCAACATGACATTGAGTTTTTGGCTTGGGTTTCCCTCTCTGTTTTTTTTTTTTTTTTTTTTCTCGTGCAGAGATCCCTTTACTGTCTGCTGATCCTTCCAGTGCTTGGGAGCCCCCATTCTCTGTTGTATGTCAGGTGCAGCCTAAGGGATAGTAGAAGAACTGGTTGCCTCCATATTAGGCCTAGAATGAAGAGTGGAGGAAGCAGGGGTCTGTCACAAACATTTAAATTCCACTAAGAAACAGGTTAAGAAACTGAGGCCAAAGTCAGTGTGGTACCATGAGCATTTTGAACCTCTTCATGTCCATGCATTTTGTGCACGCTGACAAAAGCTGTTGGTTTCCTTTTACCATGGAGTCTTCCTTGTGTGCCATAGACTTTTCAGAGGGCCCCTAGAAGAAGGTACAGCAAGGAGCAAGACAACCCTGGAACATTTCTGCCAGTATTGAACCTGGGACATCGCTCCTTGTTCTCTCGTTCTGTTTGAAGAAACTATGGCCATTGAGCAAATCTACTTTAGAGGCTCTGTACTGTATTGCACACACAAGCAGACAGTCACACACACAGAGAAACATAGGTCATTTCATGGGTAACTTGTGTATGGAAAACACGGGAGTTTCTATGTTACTTATGTGTCCATGTTCCCAAGCTCATACTCACTTCGCTCTGTATGACCAGTCTTGGTTCTGCCTGAGCCTGCCTACATTTGTGAGGCTGTTTCCTGTGTGGTCTGTCAGTGATGTTTTTTCTGGCACCATGGTCAGAATTTAGGGCCCAAATTGGGTCCTTAGCTAGTTGCTTGCATCACACATTAGCACAATTAAAGTCTCAAGGAGCCACAGTGTATGTGCGTAGAAGGGGGTGACCTTAATGTGTTTCCTTCCTTTTTTGAGTGCCCTACTTCGGGATGGATTGCTTGGCCATGCAGCATGCTATGCTGTGAACTGTTTTCATCCTGCCCAGTTGGGAGAATAGGACCAGACATTGGCTGCCATCAATGTCTGCCCCAGTTCATCCTCATGCATAACCTCAGCCTGCCATTGGGTTTTTGTCATGGGTTTCCCTCCGAAGCTCTCTTGTACTCCTCGAGAGATGCCTTTACTGTCTGCTCATCCTTCCAGTGCTTGGGAGCCTCCATGGTCTGTTGCATGTCAGGTGCAGACAAAGTGATACTCCACAAACTGGTTGCTTCCATATGAGCCCTAGAATTAAGAGTTCAGTCAGGATGGGTTTGTCACAAAAATTTAAAATTCACTATGAAGTAGATCAAGAAACTGAGTCCAAAGGCACTGTGTTACCATGACCATTTGGAACCTCTTCATGTCCATGCTATTTGTGCATGCCATCAAATGCTGTTGGTTTCATTTGACGATTTGTGTCTTCCTTGTATGCTATAGACTTTTCAGAGTGCCCCTAGAAAAAGGTACAGCAGGGTGAAAGGCAGTGCAGGAACATTTTTGCCAGTATTTAACCTGGTACATCACTCTTTGTTCCCTGTTCCTGCTTGAAGAAACTATTGGCATTTAGGCAACTGTCCTTTAGCGGCTCTCTGCTATATTACACACACCCTCAGACAGTCACACACTGGGAGAAACATAGGTCATTTCAAGGGTAACTTGTGTAGGGAAAACATACACAAGGAATTTGTATGTTACTTAAGTGTCCAAGCTCATATTCACTGAGCTCTGTATGACCAGTCTTGTTTTTTCCTGAGCCTTCCTATGTTAGCAAGGCTTGTTCGTGTGTGGTCCCACAATGATGCTTCTCTGGCACCGTGGACAGAATTTAGGACCCAAATTGGGTCCTTAGCTACTTGCATCCACCACTCATTAGCACAGGTCAGGAAACAAGTGACACCAGTGTATGTGTGAAGAAGGTGGTATCCCTAAAGTGATTCCTACTTTGTAATTGTCCTTCTTGGGGACTGATTGCTTAGTTGTGTAGCCTCTATGCTGTGAAATGGCAATAGTTTCTTCAAACAGGAATCGGGAACAAAGAGTGATGTACCAGGTTAAATACTGGCAAACAGGAATAGTGAACAAAGAGTGATCTACCAGGTTAAATACCTGCCAGTTGGTATGGTAGGACCAGACATTGCCTGCCAACAATGTCTGTAGTATTTGCGCATGCATACCTGCAACATGACATTGAGTTTTTGGCTTGGGTTTCCCTCTCTGTTTCTTTTTTTTTTTCCTCGTGCA